GACGCACAGATGGCCGTAATTCGAATCCGTGCAATTCTTCTCGATTGCATCGTCAACGATTTACCGGTACAAGTGTACACGCACACACATACACGTAACACACGTGTACATGTATATATGACATATACATATAACTCGTTTAACCCCTACGACGCGAGGATCGTTTCTTCAGGGATCAACGCATTTGAATCATTCTTCAATTCAAATGCATTTACAATATTAAATATATTTTACATAAGAGACGGGCAAAATGTTTTAAATAATTATTTATTTATTTCTTATATTTTCACGAGGAGCCACGTGGCGGTGCCCGGTTTTAGTCTTTATTTTTTTCAAATAAAACCAACTTGTTTTAAATGTTTCGTAAAGGAAATGCATTGGTTTTAAAATTCAACTATTTATTTATAAACGATCTGCAAATGGAAACATTTTTTTTTATTAACCTTTTATGGTTTTGATCGATATATTTGTGTATAAATAATTAAAGTAATTATTTTTCAGGGCCCACGTTATATTCCATTGCTTGTTTTCTTCAATTATTATTAAAATATACATAATAAAAATAAAAATTTCTCGAGCCAGTATTACCCATGAGTTCGTCAACAACTTTTTTATTTGAAACTTGATTACTTTCAGAATAAAAATTTTCGTTTAAAAATCGTTTCTATTCGACTGTTGACTTTTTTTAAACACACTTTGCACATCTCTGTTTTCTGCTGAATAGTCACGAGCATCGTCAAAGGGTTAAAGTCTACGGTTGGCGATTCTACCAGAACCCAGAGTAAGTTCCGAACGTTTGTCGGAACCAGGTCGTTCGAAAATTAAGATTCTTTCTATTATTTTCTTCGCTGCTCTCCCTGGTTAGAGGTACGACAGTAAAAAAAATATCTTTCCGCGATCGTCCTCGTTCCTATTGTTATGTCTGGGCCTGCAGTAGATCGTCTAGTAGCATTATACAATACCTTTTCATTGTTCGGTATTTCGAGAAAGTAATTGACTGACGGTTTACGTATTCTCACCTGGTGATTTTGCAACAGCGATAAAAGTTATTAATAATAGATACGTTACAGAGAATAACATTAAGTTTGTCCATTTAAAACGAATCTGGTAAAAAGTAGATCCCAACTTTGATTAATTATTCACCATTCTCCTCCGAATATTAATAATAAATATAAAAAATTCAATATACAATTTCCACGATTGAAATTTCTCCGTTTAAAACGTGCAGCGTGTAAATTAGTTAATTTAGAATAAAATTAAATCTATTCAGATCTGGTAAATCTGGTCCCTATCGATTAAGAGTAATTTTTCTCCGAATATTTAGAAAATAAAAATGTACAATTTGCTTACCGTAAGATTGCTAATTTAAAACACGAATCGCGGTAATTTAGAATAAAATTAAATTTATACAGATCTGTTCCAAATTAGATCTCAACTTCGATCAATTAAACTAACTTAAAGTAAAATTTCGAAACATAGAATGAACTAAGAATCGTCTTTCATCCTGACATTGCGTTTCGAATATACTTCCCCTCGCGTCCGTTTTACGTACAGCTTTCCGGTTACCGGAGTCGACGGAGAAATACCCAAAATGGCCAAACAAAAATATATTTCCCGTTCCTCGGTCTAACTATCTTCGACGAGATCGATAAAACCGGATAGCCATCTCCCCGACGCAGAGGTGTGAAAGAATCGAGTGACTTTTCCTTCGAACAATAGTTCTGTTCATCAATTACTGCCTTTTTAAAAGAAATTCCATTTTGCTAATTTACCCTGTATCGCTAGAATTTCTCAACAAGTTTCTATTAATTATTTGATATATCAGAATAGACTCTTTGCTATTTGAAACGAAGCTCTAAGCTTCAATCTTCCAACAAAGGGTATAGCCAAATAAGGGGGTCAAATGTGCCCTTGAACCAAATGTGACATACGATGGATCCATCGATAGAGCATCAAGAAAAAACGTTCTGTGCCAAATTTTAACCCTCTATCTTGTTTGGAAGGGTAGTTATTGAGAAAATTCGGATTAACGAATTTCTGCCCTATTTCCCCTATTTAATCGAGTAGAAAAATTATGAAAAAAATCTGGTGCATTGTGGTTATTGAGATACGTGTATGAGAATTTTGTCCGATTTTTCGATTCCAAATCCTAGGTGTGAAAAATTGAAAACGCAAAACAAACACAGAAAAATACGGATTTCGTATTGAACCTTTCGTGACACTAGATTTCTATAATTACTGTAAATGCGTATTGTCATTGGTTATCTCCCAGAATTTTTTCCGATTTTTTGGTAGGGTGCGCCGTAGTAGGAAAAATCAAAAACTGATTTTTTCGAAGTTTTTCGCGTGAAAGAGCATCTTATACTTTGAATTTTTGTATTTTCTTTAATAGATAACTATATTGTATGGTTTTAAACATTTCTATGTTGAGCAGAACATTGTATACAAGAAGAAAAGCAAAAATAAGTCACGAAAAAAAAGTGCTATGCGCGATATATTTATTTGAATTTTTTTTCGAAACTGTGTTCGATTTCGGGGGTATGTCTATTCACCAAAAATAATTGTAATTGACCCCCTTAGCTAGAAATAATTTTTTCAGAACGATTTGAAATTTTTTTTCGTCGAAAAATTTAGACACCACCCCCTTGGTTGATTATTCTTAAAAAATTGTTTTCCATTTTTAATAAATTTGTTTCACGCTCTACAGAAAAAATGTCTAATACTTTTTTATAGGCACCGATGAGCTCTACTTTAGAAAAAATTTTCATTGAAATATGTTCACTATTGTAGGAGTTATGGCCGTTTGAAAATTGGACCATTTTTATGGGGTTTCTCTAACTTTACGGGATTAAGGAACAACTTTTTCACTATTGTTATAATGCCTACATATTCTTCGGCAAAATACGCGTTATTTGCCGCTTCAAACATTAAAATCCTTCAATACGTTCAGAAGTTATGACATTTTAAAGATTCGCATGAAATTTCAAGGAAGCCTCACATTAGATTTTCGGTAAAGAATTATTTTCTCGAAAGCGCGTAGGATTTCGGGGATATGTCTATTCACTTAAAATGCTTGTAATCGATCCTGGTAACTAAATATAATTTTTTTAGTATGATTGCAAATTGTTTAATTTCGTCCAAAAATTTCAGTACCTACTGCAAGAAGATTCTTCAATAAAAAGAATATGAGCGTATATTTTAGGTGAAAATATTTTTTAAATATTAATAAACAAATAGTTTTTCACTGTCGTTTAGTTAGAAATTGAAAAAAAACAAAACTAATATAATAAAAAAAATGTACTTCAGCAGGGCTCGAACGCGCGTCAAAAAGTTCGCAGCAGTCTCTCAGTCGAGCATCTTACTTACTGCACCATCGCAGCTCTTGAAAATACCGTTGATACTTCTCAATATATCGTGCATAGCACTTTTTTTCGTGACTTATTTTTGCTTTTCTTCTTGTATACAATGTTCTGCTCAACATAGAAATGTTTAAACCCATACAATATAGTTATCTATTAAAGAGAATACAAAAATTCAAAGTATAAGATGCTTTTTCATGCGAAAAACGTCGAAAAAATCGGTTTTTGATTTTTCCTACTACGGCGCACCCTACCAAAAAATCTGAAAAAATTCAGAGGGATAACCAATAACAATACGCATTTATAGTAATTATATAAATCTAGTGTCTCGAAAGCTTCAATACGAAATCCGTATTTTTCTGTGTTTTTTTGCGTTTTCAATTTTTCACACCTAGGATTTGGAATCGAAAAATCTGAAAAAATTCAGGGAAATAACCAATGACAATACGCATTTACAGTAATTACAGAAATCTAGTGTCTCGAAAGCTTCAATACGAAATCCGTATTTTTCTGTGTTTTTTTGCGTTTTCAATTTTTCACACCTAGGATTTGGAATCGAAAAATCTGAAAAAATTCAGGGAAATAACCAATGACAATACGCATTTACAGTAATTATAGAAATCTAGTGTCACGAAAGGTTCAATACGAAATCCGTATTTTTCTGTGTTTTTTTGTGTTTTCAATTTTTCACACCTAGGATTTGGAATCGAAAAATCGGACAAAATTCTCAAACACGTATCTCAATAACCACAATGCACCAGATTTTTTTCATAATTTTTGTACTCGATTAAATAGGGGAAATAGGCAGAAATTCGTTAATCCGACTTTTCTTAATAACTACCCTTCCAAACAAGATAGAGGGTTAAAATTTGGCACAGAACGTTTTTTCTTGATGATCTATCGATGGATCCATCGTATGTCACATTTGACCCCCTTATTTGGCTATACCCTTTTGTTCTAAAAATATAATTTATTTAAAATTTCAAACTAAAAATCTGGGCTCGTTCGTTTAGTACGGTTTTAAAATCGTCAAATCCACTAAAATTTCCATGTAAGAACTATTGTTCGAGTAAAAATCACATCACCGGTATGCAAGAATTCCATCCAACTGCGAGTCTCTTCAGTCAAGCACTTTCCGAACCAAACATTAGCAATGCCCCTGAATCGAGTAATTCGCGAAATAGCGACTAATGCCTACACTAAGTGCGCGTCTCTAATCCGTCTTTGTTACCATTCTACGCAACAACCCCCTAAACAACTCTCTCCTCCTCTAATACCCTAAACGATACATAGACATCCATCCACCACGCTGATCGTTCGTTTAACCCCTTTGTCGACGAAATCCCGCAGTTGATCGCGTTAGCGAATTTTGGTTAAAACGATTAAAAACACCGAGAACTTTAACCAACTTCCAAAGTCGTCGTGAAACACAACTGGACACGGTGATTTGCAACTACATCGCGTCTTCAGAGAGTCAAGAAACGAACAGGTTAGCCAGTCCGCGCGAGTCAATAACGGTGAACGCTCGAAGCGCTAAAAGCACAGGCGTGTGTCTCCGCGTGTGTGTAAAGTGTGTATTGTATTAAAATACAGCTCTTATGGCTCTTCGCGTTTATACCGTGTCCCATTGACCGTCGCGTTTCCTGACCTTCGCTCTTCCCCTGTGACCCACCCGCTCCCCCTTAATAATATTAATAATTAACGTTACTCTTTGTTCTCTCCCTCAGTTTCGTCGTCAAATCTTCTAAAAATATGTCCTATATATATTTCTTCGTTCACATTCGCTCCTTCCTCTCTTATCTCTTATTTATCTTTCCCGCACATTTCGTCCAGAGACAGATACCATGCACACATTCGTAAATCGCTTGTACGTACAGTTTGCCTATGTCTATGTGTATTTGCAGAGTGAAACACGGACGGTAGTGCCTAAGAGAAGCTCGCATGAGACCTTGTCCTCGATATCGATCGCTGTCGACGCCAGAGAATCGACAATTTCCATCATCCGCTCGAAACGGGCGCTTCCAAGTAAACCGAACACGATTTGGACAACGTTCTTTCGAATGCAGTTTTTGCCACGATAACTCATCGATCCTGAAACCTACGACTCTTTCGTTGCAATAGTTTTTACGAACTGATAATCTCTAGTACCTCTACAATATTCGCTTCCACCGACAGACGATTGAATTTGTCGTATCATCGAGACACAAAGATTGCATTCGGAAGATGAAGGTAGCTTTAAAACCCAAGGGAACGCAAGTTTCGAGCGAGCAGTGAACCCAAGCCCAAGTTATGCACACGTACCTATCTCTCCCATTGTACACCTTAAATCGGAGATCCACGTGTTTCACTTGGAGGATGCAGAGACGATTGATTCTGGATAATTCCTCTCCTCTTTCTGATACCAGTCGGCAAGAGTTCCACTCGATAACGTTTCTACGTACCCCTAGACGCGTGTGCGTACTTACTAATTACGTGTTCCGAGGATAGGCAAGCTCCTCTAGGACCAATCGCGTCTCGAGGCCCAAGAAACGTCGTCGTCGTCGTCGTCGTCGATCGTTGATTCTCGTTGTCTGCCTCGATTCCCAGCTCCCTGTCCCCTTTCTCGTGTTCCTCCTCTGCTAGTTTCGTGCCCCCCCAGCACTCGTTATATCCTAATCTCGACACAGCCTCTTCGGAAACTACGGGCATTTCCGTGGCTCAGCACCGCCTCCTCCATCGACAGTTCTTTTTTTATCCGAGCCGTGGTCCTGGTCTCCGTCTCAGACTGCGAAAAACGATTGACGCGAGCACCAAGTGTCTTGTCCCTTCTAAAATCTAGCCAAAGCGACGGTTCGCTCACAGACGCGGCCAACACGACACGATCTCCGGCGTCTCGATCACCTGTTTACCATCAGTCAGGAACCGATCCGTCACGCTTTCTCCCTTACGACGCTAGATTCAGGAGGCCTGGTTCATGGGATGCCATTCAAGTCGACCCGAGACCATTCACAAATAGTCGTTGTCCACCGCCTGCGCGTCCTGGGACTTCAGAGTGGCCATCTCCTCCACGGTACCCTCCTCCACCTCCTGCTCGTCCGCGAAATTTATGCTCCCCGCTTTGTACCACACCACTATGTCCACTACGAATGCCAGGACCAGAATTCCACCCGTTGTGCCTAAGGATTAATCAGAAAATCTGTCGACTGATTGCAGTTGTACGAAGAAAGGGACGCGTTACATACTTTAAACGAAAAAGGTTCATACGAAAAGGTTATATTATGCTCGAAAATGCTTTATTGAAAAGAATTACTGGCAAAATTCGTCACACAAAAGGATTGATTTAGAAAACTACACCAGAAAAAGAAGATCAATTTTTTTAATGTACGTAAAATGCATTTTCTATTATTTCTAATACAGATGGAATATTTCAGAAGAAATTTTTCAACATTTCTTATAACCGTCACAATTCATCACGAACATCTTTAAAAGCTTATATCTTTTTAACCCCTTTAGTGCCAACGACGATATATCGTTGCGTATGCGATGGTGCCTTATTCTTCGCATTAGGAGAAAGGTCTGTTTCAACAAAAATTTCTAAAACATTATGAAGGGTCTAATTTTATTGCAAAAGCATTTAAAAAATTATTTTTTCGAGAAAAAATTTCTTACCGAAAATCTAATTTTTCTTCCAGACCTAACCCAGACCTGACCCAAAACTAATCCAGACCTAACCCAGACCTGACCCAAAACTAATCCAGACCTAATCCAGACCTGACCCAAACCTTTTTTTTTTTTGGGTCAGGTCTGGGTCAGGTCTGGATTAGGTCTGGGTTAGGTCTGGATTAGGTCTGGGTTTGGTCTGGATTAGATCTGGGTTAGGTCTGGATTAAGTTTGGGTCAGGTCTGGGTTAGATCTGGGTTAGGTCTGGATTAAGTTTGGGTCAGGTCTGGGTTAGGTCTGGGTTTGGTCTGGATTAGATCTGGGTTAGGTCTGGATTAAGTTTGGGTCAGGTCTGGGTTAGGTTTGGGTCGGGTCTGGGTTAGGTCTGGGTTAGGTCTGGATTAGGTTTGGGTCAGGTCTGGGTTAGGTTTGGGTCGGGTCTGGGTTAGGTCTGGGTTAGGTCTGGATTAGGTTTGGGTCAGGTCTGGGTTAGGTTTGGGTCGGGTCTGGGTTAGGTCTGGGTTAGGTCTGGATTAGTTTTGGGTCAGGTCTGCGTTAGGTCTGGATTAGGCCCAAAACTAATCCAGACCTAACCCAGACCTGACCCAAAACTAATCCAGACCTAACCCAGACCTGACCCAAAACTAATCCAGACCTAACCCAGTCCTGACCCAAAACTAATCCAGACCTAATCCAGACCTAACCCAGACCTGACCCAAATCTAATCCAGACCTAACCCAGTCCTGACCCAAAACTAATCCAGACCTAATCCAGACCTGACCCAAACCTTTTTTTGGGTCAGGTCTGGGTTAGGTCTGGATTAGGTTTGAGCCAGGTCTGGGTTAGGTTTGGGTCGAGTCTGGGTTAGGTCTGGGTTAGGTCTGGATTAGGTTTGGGCCTAATCCAGACCTAACCCAAACCTAACCCAGACCAAGGTGCCTACATTTTTCGACGAAAAAAAAAATTTCAAATCGTTCTGAAAAAATTATTTTCGGTTTCGAGGGTCAATTACAATCATTTTTGGCGAATACACATACCCCTGAATTCCTACTCACTTTCTAAAAAAAAATTCGAGAAGGTGTGAAATTTTTCAACGGGAAGAAAAAATTTCAAATTGTTCTGGAAAAATTATTTTCGGTTGTGGGAGTCGATCGCAATCATTTTTGGTGAATAGACATACCCTCGAAATGCTGCGCGTTTTCGAGAAAAAAATTCAGTACTGGCTCCACTTTAAACGTAAATAACTTTTTAACAAAGCCTCATCAAATTTTGAATGGAGTATTTATTAAAAAATCATTGAAAATCAAATACTTATACTTTATGCTACGTGACCTACATAAAACTGTGATCAAACAATGATTATTCTTATGTGTAAATATTGTTTGTGGAAGAGAAACTTGTTTCTATGCTTTTTATCATATTTTATAATTATGTTATTTATATGATTTGCAATAAATATTGAAATGCAATTGTCATTACTTTATTCTTTCTTTATTTCGTAATATGGTGCTTTTTGAATTTTGTAAATATCATTGTTAGTTTGGTTTTTATGAGCTTTTTCTCTAACCATAACAAACTCGTGAAATTGGCTCGGTATTGTTCGCATAGGCAGCCGTTTTTCGCTCGGCACTAAAATGGTTAATAAAGCATTTTCGGACATAAATTTATAGAAATTATTTTTACGTATTTGACCTGTGTAACACGTAGTGTAAGTTTGGGTCCCAACCTTTTTGGATTCATATAACAAAACTGAAGTTCAAATCAATTTAAATGAAAGATTTCTGTTAAAAACATATAAACTCAATTATTTTCCTCAAAGATGAAGCATTGTAAATTGAAGTTTTCGAAACACCTACCGTGATAGAACATTCTGAAGACATTGGAGTCGTAGAGCGAGCAGGCACCTCTCGAGCCGCAAGCGTATTCCCATACAAGACAGGCGGAGTCCACCACAGCACCATAAACGATAGGACATGGAACGTTTCCTGGAACCAGAGAACAAACGGATCAACGTGTGATAAATTCCGAAAATCTTCTCCACTGTTTTCTCATTTATAAAAAGGAAATAAAAAAAATAGAAAACTATAGGATATTCGACTCGAAACGTGTGTCTTTTTCTTATTTTTGTTTAGAAACCTTGTACCCTTGACATATGATACTGTTCAAAAGTTAGTTATGGGATCCTTAAAACTTCAAAATAAATTAATTAATTTTCTTTTCTATCCAAACAAATGCTTTTTCAACACACAGATTGTATATTTAAAAACATCGTATTAGAAATACTTTTTCGAAAAGATAATATAGAATTGAGGAACTTAAAATCTGTTGAATATTGTATGGGATTCGGTAGAGTTTTTAACGAAAAGTCTGCTAATTGCCATTCGACGGGTCCAATTACAGAGTGGATAAAGGAAATAATTACCGAAGAGGCCAATGGCGAACTGTATGAGTCCCAAAGCCATGGCCTTGTCCCGCGGATCCACGCACCGTAGGGTCAACAGCATGGAGCCCACCTCGCTGGTCGAATGGATGAAAACGAACACGGAGAACAGGACCATATAAACCCAAAAGTTACTGCACTCGAGGGCGCAGTAACCGATCGTCGCCGTACTCGTTGTTTCCGGTATCGTTAGGTTCGCCTCGATGCACTGGCAGTTGTAAAACTGTAAGCCGAGAAAGTTCGGATTATTAAGGTACAAGGAATGTCGACGATTACCATGATGGTTCTGCGTGGTCGTCAATTATACAGCAAATAAGTTTTATAATACTTTGAGAAACGAAGGTTCTTTAACTAATTTTTTTCATTAAATGTCAAGCATCGATACTGTAAACGTTTGTTTAATATTCATATAGACATCAGGAAAGAAACTTGGGGGACCACGCTATGAATCGACGAAATGCTATGAAACGAAAGAAACAGAAATAAAAGAAAGACGAGATTCTCCCATGATTTTCAGTTTTATTGGGATCTTCATACTTCATTCGGTATTTGAGATTTCTCTGTTGTATTTTTATTCAAATCATAACCAAATTCATACTATCTGAAAGCTGAATTAATTCCCCAGCTGCATATGTGCCTTTCATAGCTAAGCAGTCTTCTACAATCAAAGTTATTATTGTTTAACCTTTTGACTGCGTCCTAGGAAGAGTCCATCAACATAGATGGCGCGATCGTCACATATGCCTGTCGCTGCGACTGGTGACCAAAAAAGTACCCAAAGAAAGATTTAACAGACCATTCTTACGGTTTAAAAAAATAATGCAAATAAATTAAAACATCAAATTTCTATCCAATTCCATATCGAATCAATCGATGAAACAGTAAAAAAAATGCAGACGGCGTAAATTTACGCTTTTCGTATATATTGTGATAGACTCGTGAAAGCGTATATTTTGAAAGTGGCCTAAGTCCATTTATCTTCAAATCGAGATATTTAAGGGTTTGCGTTTCAATAAATTTCAAAATATACGTATAGGATACTAATGAGTCATACTGCTTAGTATCCTAGAATAATTTTCGTCTTTGATCGTTTCTACCGATTGAACTCAAGTTTCAAAAAAATAATCATTTTTATAAATTCAAAATTTTGTCGTGCAGTAGACAGAAAACTGAAACTTTCGTTTAAAACATTTTGTTTTGTTAGATTAACAGAAGTGTTGGAAAGAATGGGAGATTCTAGAGGCCAAAATAAGATGAAAATCAAGAATATTAATTTGCTAATGGTGGCTTCGTTAAAAAATTATTAACGTTTCAAGTTCCGTCCGTATTGAATTTTTTTCTAGAAAGTGGGTAGGATTTCGGGGGTAGGTCTGTTCACCAAAAATTATTGCAATTGACCCCCGCAACCGAAAATAATTTTTCCAGAACGATTTGAAATTTTTTAATTTCGTCAAGAAATTTCACACCTTTTCGAATTTTTTTCTCGAAAGTGCGTAGGATTTTGGGGGTATGTTTATTCGCCAAAAATGATTGTAATTAATCCCCGCAACTGAAAATATTTTCTCCAGAACGATTAGAAATTTTTTAATTTTGTCGAAAAATTTCACATTTCTCGAATTTTTTTCTAGAAAGTGAGTAGGATTTCGTGGGTATGTCTAATGACCAAAAATGATTGTAATTAACCCCCGCAGCTGAAAATATTTTCTCCAGAACGATTAGAAATTTTTTAATTTTGTCAAAAAATTTCACATTTCTCGAATTTTTTTCTAGAAAGTAGGTAGGATTTCGTGGGTATGTCTAATAACCAAAAATGTTTGTAACTGACCTCTGCAATTGAAAATATTTTTTCCAGAACGATTTGAAATTTTATAATAACTTCTTAATGAAGCCTCAATTAAGAAATTGATATTCTTGATTTTCGTCTTATTTTTGCCCTCTAGAATCTCCCATTAAAATTTTTCCCCGAGGTGGCCTAACACTCTATATGAGCCGTTTATTTTGAAAATGGCCTAAGTCCATTTATCTTCAAATCGAGATATTTAAAGGTTTGTATTTCAATGAATTTAAAAATATACGTATAGGATACTAATGAGTCATACCGCTTAAATGTATCTAAGGGTGTTAAATTTGAAGTTTAAGTAAAGTGTTAAGAAAGTCAAAGTTGAAAAAATACTTTCGACTTCTCGTGACCGTGCAATTTTGATAAAAGAGAGTGGTTTTTTCTTAAAACTATGAAAGTAACATCAACCAAATATGGTAAAGTTCTTGGGTTGGTCCAATAATTATGTAAAGTTGTAGTAAAATTATCATCTCTTGTGAGAATACTTCTAAAATGCAAAATTGTCAATGAAATCATCGCAAAAGAGTACAAATCTTATGGAGTTAGGCCACTTTCAAAATAAACGGCTCATATACGCCTTTAGCAGTCAAAGGGTTAAACAGAATGTATCGCGGTGTATGGATACTTTTTCCCGCGCAATTTTAGAACGAAACGTGTGTATTTGGTCTTCTAATTGCGCAAGCGATTCGTGTCGCAGAAAATCCGAACAACTGGAAATGAAATGTGCTCCGGGCAGGCATGTTGAATTGCGAAAGTAATGACTCGGTCTGTTGCGCAATCAATGAAATATTGTCTCGTCCACGCGAATAACGCGATTTCGCCCATAAATGGGAGAACAGCGAAACATTTCTGGCCTAGTTGCATGCTACTGTCGCCCGACAATTACGACCGTATCTGTTCCAATCCGTTGTACATATCAATATCCTCACCATCTCTTCCTCCCCCGCGATGACGTCATTGACTGTGCACAATCGGAGAATGCAATCAACGTGCAGAATAGAGGGACGAAGTTATTCGATTAGATTGGACTCCGCGTTGACGCAAGGAGACAGAAAAAACTGTCTTCGTTTAATCGTGCCCGTTCGTTTTCTCCCACCAAACGACCGACACAATTTTCCGACGAATAATTCATCGCGAATAGAAACATTGTAAAAACGAACCGTTTCGTGATCAAAACTTCTGTTAGAATGTGTACGTTTGGTTACTCGAATGCTCCGTTATCGTTCGATTTTATTCCACAAAAGCATGCCTCTGATTAATCCCAATCGTACTCACCAAAGATACCTTGCTGTCGACCACGGTGTAATTCGAACAGCCCGCGTGACACGCGGAAAAATAGGTTTTACCATCAGCACCGCAAATTGGACTGAACTTGTTCCGATCGCAGTCGCAGGTAGCCTCGCAGGTCGGCTCGAAACTGGATAATCTGCAGAAACATCGATCGTCAGACTTGAAATCAATTTGTTAATAAAAATTCTGTAAAGAGCTCGTATGTGTAATTTCAACTTGTTTATCTTCGTTATTTGTTATAAATTGGTATCCCTTTTTTAACAACTCTGAGAAGCAGTTCCCTTTTGATGTAAATTATTATTATTATTGTAGTTATAAATACAGTTTTTTAAATACGCGACATTAGCTGGGATTATGGAAAAATAAAATTCCCATGATCGTCGATAGTTTAAGAAATAACCGAGCCGAGGGAATCAATTACGAATAATGATGATTTATGCAAACTGTGCAACAGCGACTGAGATGCGATTAGTGCGTATGGACGCGGTGGAAAGTAATTGTCGAGAGATTACCGTTTGATCGTGAAAATCGTAACGAAGAAGGTAGGATGGAGTGTCTCACCCGTTGGAATGCGAAACGAGACCAGCGAAATCGTCCATCGGGCAGCCGATGAACATCAGCACGGTCATGCCGATCGCGTAAACAATCGCTGTGAAGGCGATCCAGGCTGCGACAAACCTGGCGTTAGGCTTCGCCCTCAGGATATACACTCCGCTAATTATAATACCCAGACCCATTACTAAAATACCACCGACACCTGCAACAAAATACATTCACAATGTACAGTTTCGAAATACTCGCCCTTTTGCCATTTCATCGTATTCTTCGAATCTAATCGATAGTTCTGACATCCCAAAGGAACGATATCCTAACTCGAACGAAAACAATTATGTTTATTAAACCGTTGGGGTGATAGGTTGTAATCGGTGACTACCAATCACCATTCTTTTAGCTTTACCAATTGCAAGTTTTACCTTATTGATTATACATGTTTGTAAACATCGAAACTGAATCAAGCGTTGTATGGACCAATTAAATGCTGCATGTTACGATTGAAAATCTCAACGTGATCTCCATATTTTGATAAAGAAGAGAAATTTCGTTGTAAAGAAATTGTTTACAAGAAATATTAATGTGAAAAAATTAAACGACTCAACCTGTACGAGGCAGTATTTAACAACGTTTCTTTTTATTCTTGAAATAAACACTAATAAGATTCAGTTCTATTGTAATCTGAATATTCGTTTGGAAAGAATTGTAGGATTAATCAGTTTGTAAAATAGTGGTTAGATGATCGTAGTTACCGAGAGATTCGTAAATTAAAGATCAGAGGCTGTTGGTCCTCCCGTTGGACAGAGTTAATGGCGTCGCGATCCAACAGGGGCCAAGAGCACCTCTCTCGGCATGTCTATTTGCGAAAATTACCTGAGATCATGTTCGCATGATGAGCTGGCAAGCGAAATTGGCTCTCGAGGTACTTTGGCAGGAAGGTGTAGAGGCCGGCGATCGGTAGGATGTGCAGCACGCTGCTGGCCGTCCGGAACATAAGAATGTCGTTCTTCAACAGCCTCTTCACCGCTTTAGGGAAGTCTGCAACAGCCAGAGAGAAGCTGTGTAGTCGCTGCAACGTGCACAATGAACATCGCGACCTCCAACGGTACGATTTTCATGAAAGGACGATCTTCGATAACGACCATTTTTTCATACTCGTCCTAAGAAGGATCTTCTGAGTTTCAGAATAGTCATTTCTTTAAAAAAAAAAAACTGTAGAACACACATCGACACGTGATCAGAGAGTACTCACAATTCTTTTTCAATAAAAAGTAGCAACGACTGTAGAAATTACCGAAACATATGCACGCAAAGTGTTTTAACTTGATTTGCAAATACTATTTCCGATGAAAATGTTATTACATCGATCAACGAATTTAATACAAATGCTAAAAATTGATGTTTATCATTTCTGTAAGACTAACCATTTAATCTGAAATTCGTAGATCTAACGTTAAACCACATTAAACGAACTGAAATTACGAGTCTGAGTTAGGTCTGGGTTAGGTCTGGGTTAGGTCTGGTATAATTGATATAATTCGAGGTATCTGGACATGTTGCACCAAATTGCCGGAATACTTAACGAACAGTGCAATGGATTTTGATGAAATTGAACTATAACGTAGTAAATATAGTAAGCGAGCCCGATTACGAAGTACTAATCAGTCGACGATCGAGTTTCCGTTCCGTTCTATTTTCAAAGGGATCCAGAGACACGCGTTCGGAGAGAGAAAAAGGGAGTAGGTAGGTAGATACTTACATAGCTGGCTGGTCGCCTCGAGCTGAAAAAAACGAGAAAACCGAGGGAAGAAAAAAAGGAACCAACGGATACTCCGCGGCGCGAGGAGAACGAGTATCGATCTTCACCGGTAACGCGATAAAAGTCCTGTCAGACGGCCATGTTCCTGTCGATATTTCGAAAAGATCTCGGATAAGGTGTACAACGGTTCCCTTTTTCGCATCGAGTACGTTCTCTTACTTGCAATTAAACAGTAATACGTTTCTGTTACAGTGTCTGAACGAACCGGACGAGTTAACTCGTCTTCTCGTCGGGGCTCTTGTATCTTTATCAAAATTACATTCGTTATCGTATCGGCTCCAGGTTGACTCGAACACGTTCTCGATCGACCGCGTTGCAAACTTCAAGCTACTTTGCATCACGAATTATCTTGGAAAACTATTAACCACCGTTTAAAGAATTACATACTTGGATCAATGCTAACTCAATGCCCAGTGACTGCATTTTTCGTTGAAATTATTCAGTTTCTAATTAATATTACGTTATTTTATTCGATGATGCAAAGCGTGCCAGACGGTCGATAGTCAATAGCTGGTGTTAGTTTTAAGAGGTTTGTTTACTATTAATATGGAGGGTTCAGAGAACCGTAAACAACACGTGGCACTGTTGCGATATTCCTAATCGTTTCATTTCACATTTATAACAATATTACTATATTATTTATAATATATTCTAAACTGTTTCTACAACATTCGAACTTTAGGTTACCTTTAACCAACTGTTTATGAAAAATCATAGATCATGTTACTTAACACTTTGACTGTCACGTCACCCATATGGATGATAGGATTTTCCATTATGGAGCTAGAAAAAGAAATTCTCAAGTTGAGAATAAATTCATAAATTTTGATAAGATACATTTGGTTAAATTTTATGTTATACAGGGTGTTCGGCCACCTCTAGTAAAAATTTTAATGAGCGATAGTAGAGGCCAAAATAAGACGAAAATCAAGAATACTAATTTGTTGATGGAAGCTTCGTTAAAAAGTTATTAACAATTAAATTCAAAAATTTCAAATCATTCTGGAAAAATTATTTTCGGTTGCGGGGGTCAACTACAATCATTTTTGGTGAGTACACATACCTCCGAAATCCTATCTACTTTCGAGAAAAAAAATCGAGTAGGTGGTGAAATTTTTCGGCGAAAAAAAATTTTTCAAATCGTTCTAAAAAAATTATTTTCGATTGCGGGGATCAATTACAATCATTTTTTATCATTACACATACCTCCGAAATTGTACGCACTTTCGAGAAAAAAATTCCTTACTGAAAATCCAATTAGGTGCGTAAATTTTTCAACGGAGAAAAAAAATTGCAAATCGTTGTGGAAAAATTATTTTCGGTTGCGGGGGTCAATTGCAATCAGTTTTTGTCATTAGACATGCCCACGAAATACTGCCCACTTTCGAGAAAAAAAATAGAGAAGGTGTGAAATTATTCGAGAAAATTAAAAAATTGCAAATCGTTGTGGAAAAATTATTTTCGGTTGTAGGGTTCAATTACAGTCATTTTTGGTGAATAGACATACCCCCGAAATCTTGCGCATTTTCGAGAAAAAAATTCAGTAAGGGCGGCACTTTAAACGTTAATAACTTTTTAACGAAGCTTCCATCAACAAATTGGTATTCTTGATTTTCGTCTTATTTTGGCCTCTACTATCGCTCATTAAAATTTTTGCTAGAGGTGGCCGAACACCCTGTATAGTTTGCAATGGTCTAAGATGAAAATTTTAGTCTTGCAAAATATTGTACGATTTTAATCTGCCAGTGAATGAGTTGAAGCGTCCAATTTTGTCTGCTAATGAAAATACAGTTGTTTTAGGAAAAATGTTTGGATCATCGAAGTAGAGATAAATCTAGTAAGTACTGGTTTTTGTAATTCCCGTGTGAGAAACCCTCGGTGGAAACTAGTATTAAGGATGCCTAGGACTGCTCTAGGCTTCCCGGAAGACCAAGCTTACAGCGTGGCAACCCCGCATAGAGACGTCCTGCAGACCATGAGTAGACAAACGTGACTAACATTGCGCTCCATGTATTATCGCGACAACCCTGCAACGGGCACATACAGGGTGGCCTTTCGCGAAACCTCTCTTAACTTCTTTAAGGTTACTCTACAGACTTTCATCCGTCAATTAATTTTCCTACACGAACACCTCCAACGAAACCTCCAAGAAAAAACAAAACATTTAAAAACGATCCAGAAACTGCTTAAATCGTGACATTTGCGATTAACCATTACGTACCAATCATTTTAAAGATTATCTTATAGTAATTAAAAAGTTGTAGTATCTATTTTAAATTTACATACCGTACAGTTATCCAAAGAAATAAATATTCAAACATTATACAAAATGATTCTGTTTAGAAATTTTTATTCTGATTTTAGGATTAAATATAAGCAAGAGTTGAAAAGATTTTGATTTATAAAGCAAGCTTCACATTTAGAGCGAAGATGCAAAATGAGGGTTGAGGGTTTCTTTTTCTTTTTTTTTTTTTAAATTCTTTTAAATAGTTTTCAAGTGAAATGTTCGTATGTTCGATGACTCCGAGAGCCTGTTTGTACGATTTGTCTAGTAATACGCGAATCGCGTGAGTCCTAGCGAGTCCACTCGACGGTAACATCCCTTTAGACAATTCCTCTGCATTCCGTGAAACATTTCCCGAGGATTTTGCACGCGGAAGTTTCCACAGAATTGATGGCGCCAATAATTCCACGATGTTCCGCGGTTTTTAACACGCGCTGTAAGTGACTGACAGTTAGCTCGCGATGGGAACAGGTTCCCTCCAACTTTACTAATCGAACTTTGAATCTAAAACACACTCTCTTGCCTTTCCCCTGCCATTACTTTCATCCAGATTCAACACACTGGACATCGTACACACTGTGCCATCATATCACCAGTAAAAGGATCACAGAACTTTTTACCGACGATCCAAAAAATCAATTCTCAAAGGAAGTTGTTACAGAAAGTAAATCTTGGTAAGATTCACGAATTTCAATGAGACTAAAACAATATTTTAGGTCAACGTATTAAAGTTTTACAACTTGAATAGCTTCTTTTAAGGAGACAAAGTAATTTTTCGGAATTAATTTCTTTTACACAAATTTTCTTTCTCGGTTCTACGCATATACAGGGTGTTCGGCCACCTCTAGCAAAAAATTTGAATGAGCGATAGTAGAGGCCAAAATAAGACGAAAATCAAGAATACCAATTTGTTGATGGAAGCTTCGTTAAAAAGTTATTAACGTTTAAAGTGCCGCCCATACTGAATTTTTTTCTCGAAAATGCGCAAGATTTCGGGGGTATGTCTATTCACCAAAAATGACTGTAATTGAACCCTACAACCGAAAATAATTTTTCCACAACGATTTGCAATTTTTTAATTTTCTCGAATAATTTCACACCTTCTCTATTTTTTTTCTCGAAAGTGGACAGTATTTCGTGGGGTATGTCTAATGACCAAAAATGATTGTAATTGACCCCCGCGACCGAAAATAATTTTTCCACAACGATTTGCAATTTTTTTTCTCCGATGAAAAATTTAGGCACCTAATTGGATTTTCAGTAAGGAATTTTTTTCTCGAAAGTGCGTACGATTTCGGAGGTATGTGTAATGATAAAAAATGATTGTAATTGATCCCCGCAACCGAAAATAATTTTTTTAGAACGATTTGAAAAATTTTTTTTCGCCGAAAAATTTCACCACCTACTCGATTTTTTTTCTCGAATGTAGATAGGATTTCGGAGGTATGTGTACTCACCAAAAATGATTGTAGTTGACCCCCGCAACCGAAAATAATTTTTCCACAACGATTTGCAATTTTTGAATTTAATTGTTAATAACTTTTTAACGAAGCTTCCATCAACAAATTAGTATTCTTGATTTTCGTCTTATTTTGGCCTCTACTAACGCTCATTAAAATTTTTGCTAGAGGTGGCCGAACACCCTGTACATATGCATATGAAAAGAAAATACAAAAAGGGTGATTAAGTGTATCAAAAAGGAATAAAAAATAGAATATTCAGAAGAAAAGAATGAACTATGAATAAATAATGGTTATTAAAAATTTATTAAAAAGTCACTCACATAACTATAGAAATTTGCTCGGAAGCAACTTTAATTATGTGAATAATATTATCATTATTACTATATTAAAAAATGTTGCTTTAAAAGAAGCTTATTTGAAACGTAAAAGAAAGAGAGAGAAAATATGTTAAAAAAGCAGTGGAATTTCATTT